AAGCTCTCACTATCCACCGGGGCCTCCCAGCCTTATACGCTGAAAGTGACAAAATATCCAGGAGGATTGAATGTAATGATTATTGCACATCTGTGTGTTTTGATGGTGGGCTGGTGATGTTTGGATGAGTAATTAGACTTACAGTTCATACATTATTTCATAAAATATATTTTATTGTCTTCATTTTAGCAAGATCACTACAATTATAGTTATAATCAAGATTTTCACATCATTTGAAAATTTTGTATTGATGATAATCTAAAGGATCAAAAATAAAATGCAATGGTATTTAAAGAGTATAACATTTGAATAAATTTCCATAAAAATGAAAGTTAAAGTAAATGTAAAGAGAAAATTCACATTTTTAAAAATTATTTTTCTTGAAAATATTATGGTATTTAAAATTATACATCATATTTAACAAATAACAGATTTAAAATAAAATTATTTAAATAAAGATTAAATGTTTACATTTTTGAAGATTTTATAAATATGGAACTATTGATAGTTCTAGTGTTTAATGTTCATCTAGTTGCCAACGTAAAGACTTAGTATCATACCCCATGTTACATTGATTTGAGTAATATGAGTTGTTAAATACAGTAGTCCCCCTTCTCCCCAGGGGATACATTCCAAGACCCCCAGTGGATGCCTGAAGCCATGGATAACACCAAACCTTATAAAATTGACCCTGGACAACTTGAGGATCAGGGGCACTGACCCCTGTGCAATCAAAAATCCATGTGTAACTTAAGTCAGCCCTCTGTATACGCAGATTCCCAACTGTGATTGAAAATACAGTTGAGCCTGGCCGGGCGTGGCTCAGCAGTTGAACGTCGACCTAGGATCCAGGCGATCGGGGTTTGATTGCCGGTCAGGGCACATGCCTGGGTTGCGGGCTCGATCCCCAGTCGGAGGTGTGCAGGAGGCAGCCGATCGATTACTCTCTCATCATTGATGTTTCTGTCTCTCCCTCTTCCTCTCCTTCCCTCTCTCTGAAATCAATAAAGATATATTTATAAAAAAAAATAATAAAAAAATTAAAAAAAGAAAATACAGTTGACTCTTGAACGATGTAGATTTGAACTGTGTGGGTCCACTTATACTCATGGGATTCTTTTTAAAACCCACGTTGTTCAAGGGTCAACCATATATGTTTTTTCTTATACATACATACCTATGATAAAGTTTAATTCATAAATTAGACGCAGTAAGAGATTAATAACAATCAATAATAAAATAGAACAATAACACTATATTGCAATAAATTACGTGAATGTGGTCTCTCTCTTGGCAAACTAGCACAAAGCAGCATTATTATTATTTTTCTTATTGAGAACTTTGAACTTAAAGGAAGCACTTTATGGCTTCTCTTTGGCAGATCTGAATTTCTGGCATCACTACTCTTGTACTTTGAGGTCATTATTAAGTAAAATAAGGGTGACCTGAACGCAAGCACTGGGATAATAATCAGTCGATAACTAGATGGCTGCCCTGGCCAGCATGGCTCAGCGGCTAGAGCGTTGGCCCACACACCAAAGGGTCTCCGGTTTGATTCCTGGTCAAGGGCATGTACCTAGGTTGCGGGTTCACTCCCCATTCCTGGTTAGGGCATGTGTGGGAGGCAACCAATCAATGTGTCTCTCTCACATCAGTGTTTCTCTCTCTCTCTTCCCTTCCCTCCCTTCCTTCTACTCTCTGAAAAAGCAATGGAAAAAATATCCTTAGGTGAGGATTAACCAAAAAAAAAAAAAAAAAGTAATTAGATGGCTACTAAGTGACTAAGGGTAGGGAGTGTATACAGTATGGACAAAACACGGACAAAGGAATGATTGCTATCCAGGGCCAGATGGACTGGGACGGTGTGGCATTTCATCATATTACCCAGAATGGAGTGCAATTTAAGACTTATGCATTGTTTATTTCTGAAATTTTCTGTTTAATCATTTTGGACCATGGTTGACCATAGATCACTGAAACTGCGGAGAGTGAAACCGCAGATGAGGAGGGACCACTGTACCGTAAGATGTTCCTCAGCCGCCATGTGCACTTACTGTGAGTCACTGCACTCATTCATGAGCACTCTTAGAACCACAGGCTGGAGGAGGGAGGAAAGCCCCCTCCCCCCAATAAATAAAAGGATGCTCAGCATTGCTGGGAAACGGAGAAGGTAAGTCCTCGCTTAATGCTGTTTCTAGGCTCTTGGAAACTGCCACTTTAAGCAAAACAACATATATCAAAGCCAGTTTCACCATAGGCTGTAAACAAGAGTTAAGTTCCTACGGCATGTCTCTCATCACAAAAACATCACCAAACTCGTAAATAGGGACCCAAAATATTTCTAATATTAAACATTGAAATAAATGTGAGCTATGCATACATGTAAGAAAGATGAATGAAAACAAATTAAATAATGAATTTCCAACCCACCTATTCCAGTTTAGGGTCAAGGATGGCCGGAGCCTCCCCCGGCGGCTGGAGTTGAAATCTAGGTATCCGCGTTCACTCATTCAGTTCATTCATATATGCATTGGTTCATTTATTTAAAACTCATATTCACTTCCTCCAACTCTTCATTTCATTATAGAATGCCAGGCCATAATAGTCGTGTAGTACAGACAGCCCCGTGGTCCTGCAGATGAGGGCATCGAGGCTCAGAGAAGGGCGCTGACATACCTGAGATCAGACAGCAGAGACCCCCCTGCTAAGGGTTCACGGCGCGGGATGGGTGCTTTGTTTGAGTTTCGGGTAAAATCTGACTATGTCCCAGCCAGCTTCCCTTCTGCAGACTCTGCTGCCCACACCACCCACCGCAGGGCTCGGGGGGGATCCTCGAGGGGGTTTCTGTTTGAGGAGCCACTTCCTGTTTGGGGCTGAGCACTTCCTCCAAGTGACTCACAGGCTCCCACTGGCCTCTGCTGGGAAGCCAAGGCGGGGTGGAGGCGGGCCCAGGCTGTGCCGCCCTCTGCCTGCGACCCCAGCTGGGTGACCCTGAGACTGAGCACTGCCATAGACTGGAGGTAGGACGTGGAGATGGAAGGAGATGCTCAGGTGTTCTCTGCACCCAGCTTGGTGGGCAGGGCTCTAAGAGAGCCGAGAACTTGGGCTGCCATGGGTGTGGGGGCAGCCTCCACATCCAGCCGTTCCCACATCTGGTTTCCAGTGTAGCTGCTGCCCAGGTGGGGGCTGACGGCAGAGCTGGGACCCCTTAGGATGAATTTGTGACACTTTCTCTTTCTTGCAGGAGTCATGGTCTTGGATTTCTGACACCAACTTTTGGATTTCTAGGCCAGGAGTCATGGTCTTGGATTTCTGACACCAACTTTTGGTGACCAGCTCTATGCCCAGCTCCAGGCCTCAATATCCATGTCTGTCTAATGTGGGGAAGGGTTTGCTGGCTGTGACATTTTGTCAAAGCTTGGTATTGCAGGCTTTACATTAAGAGAGTTGGGTTTGAATTCTGGCTCTGCCACCTTGCTGGGTATGTCCACTTCTCAGAGGCTCCATTTAAAAATTTGAAATAATAATCACTTTAGTCATTTTACATAATTTAATCCTCCAGAATCAACCCTATGGGTAGGTATTATTGTTTTATGCATAAGGAGATTGAGGTACAGAGAGGATCAGTACCTTGCCTAAGACCACACAGTAAGAGCCAAGATTCTAACTTGTGCAGTTTGACCCAGCACCCCTGCTGTTAACAACTATGGTCTTGCTACTCAAATTGTGGTCCCTGCACCTGTAGCATCAGCGTCACTCAGGAGCTTATCAGAAATGTCAGACTGTCAGACCCAGCCTAGACCTCCTGAGTCAGACTGCATTAGAACAAGATCTCCAGGTGACTTATTTGCACATTAAAGTATAAGAGAGAAGCCCTGCTCTATTTGTATTCCCTCTGTCACTTAGGTCTTAGGATTACTGTGGGAGATGAAGGAGATAAGTGTGTTTTGTAAACTGTAAAGTGCAGTACATTCACAGCTCTGTGAGAGAGCTGGGGGCTGGAGGTGCCCCAGGAATCTGTCTCTTGGTAGCTAGATGTCATTTCCAATCTCTCTCTGAACCCAGCTCTGCCCCCTTCCCACCCAAGGCTGAGTCAGCTGTGTGTTTCTTGCTGGTGTGTGGCTCCAGGGCCCAGTCACGTTGGAGAGAGTTCTCATGTTGGCATGGACTTATGCTGGGCACCAGGCCTGAGCCGTCACTGCCCTGGGGTCTGCAGGGCATCAGGAAACCTGGGTTCCAGCCCTGGCTCTGCCTCTGACACTCTGGGTGACCTAAGCAGACCCCTGGCCCTGCCAGCCCGTGAAGTGTTGGCAGTGTTGTCTGGAACCTGCAGTCTGACCCTGAACCCCTCCCCTTTCCTCCTCTCTCCCCGTGGCCTGTTGGCACCATCTCTCCTCCCAGGTTCTGGGCAGGAGGGCTGCCCGGTGGGCTATAAGAGCTGGTGATGTGGGAGGTGATGCATGAGTCAGAAGTAAGCCACATAATTTCAGTGCTCCAGATCCCGCCTCCAGCCCTCCAGCCCTTCCTCTGTGGCTGCTTTAGAACAGCTGGCTTGGCTGCTACCTCTGGAGAAGCAGGTCCCTGGGCAGCACGAAAGGGCCTCTGCCCTCCAGGAGCTGGGTACAACCCCAGGTTCTGTCCCAGGGTGGCTGGGCCTTGGGTCATGTTTCTGTGGGTCCTGGGGTAGGGGAGGAAGAATGGTTCAGGGAGCAGGTTATACTGGGCTTGGGGTCAGGGCTGGTTTGTGGACAGACAGCATGTGTGGAGGGGAGATTGCATGTGAGGGGTTTCATGACCCACAACTGGATCACGTGTGTCGTGGCTCACCTGCCAGCTTGGTGACTTCTCCAGGGCAGGGACTAGATGTGGCCCATCCCTGGGCTTCACATCCAACACAAGGTGGGCACAGGGTGGGGGCTTACTAAGGGTCAGGTGGGAGGGGAGAAGGCAGCGGGGAACTGATGAGTGATCTGACTGGGTTTGTCCCCTTGTCCCCACAGCTCTCCCAGTGAAGTGACATCACTACCTCCCTGACAGGACACCCCTGGGAGCCCAGCTCACAGCCACTGGTACCATCTTCCAGGTAAAGAAAAAAGAAAGGAAGGAGGCAGGGAGAAAGGAGTTAGAGACAAGCTACGTAGAGTAGCCCACTGGGTTCTAAAACAGTGTTTGCCTCTCACATGGGGGCAGGACTCTACAGTTTACCAAAAAAGGCAGGGTAAACAGGTATTATTGTCCCATTTTACAATCAAGCAAGCAAAAAAAAAAAAAAAGGATGCTCTTGCTTCCTCCAGTGTACCTGTGCTTATCGAAGCACCTTACATATATAAGCTCATTTAACCCTCACAACAGCCCATGAGGTCGGCACTGTCATTACCGCCACTTGATAAGTAAGGAGCCGGGGGTGTAGTGGCGCTAAGGAATTTGCTCGCTTAGCAAGTGGTAGAGCTGGGTTTCAAACCCAGGCCTCTGGCTCTCGGTGCACATTCTCAACGCCTGTGATTTACTGCTTTCTCTAGAGCCAAGTACTCAACTGAGTTACCCTGCCCTCCATTTTGGGTAGGTTTCATGGGCTCCCATTTCCAGGGGAGATTTGTGTTTTAAGAGAGAATCCGAGAGAATGATGCTTCAGCCGAAGGAATGAATAGCAAATAATGGAACTGGAGGCCTTGAATCATGGAATTGACAGGAACCTTGGAGGTGTACTGGCGACCACCTCCTGGGATTTTCTTCCTCAGAATTTGAGCAAGGCTGGTTTTCTTTGGTTACTGAAGGGAAACCTGGAAATTTGAAAGAGGGGTAGAAAAGTTTAGGCCCCAGGTTCTCAGATTGCCGGGAAGTAGAGGGGCTGCTACTCTTCACAGAAGAGAGGTGTAAGTGACTGTGAGGGAAATCGGTGTTCTGTGCTAAACCTGAGGTCACCTTACACTAGACCAGGAATGGAAGTGTGCAAGCAGATGTCAGAGGTTTGAGGAAAAATTGTGGGAGAAAATAATTAATTGAGACTTTTTTAAAGTAACTTGATTTTTCTGTAAATAGGGAGAGGCAGAGGCAGAATTGGGATCAGGCTCAGAGAGCTGTGCAAGTGTGTGCTTTAAGAGGCTCTGATCGGTTCCTTCTTTCCTTCCTTTGCACATTTAACCAGCTTTTCTGGCTGACAAATAAATGAGCACCTTCTTGGTGCTGGCACAATGCAGGGACACAGGTCCCCTGCACAGTGATACCTTTAGCAGGGTCGGGGCCCTGGGTATCTCCTGTCCCCATCTCCCGGTGCGGGGCCACAGACACTGTGGCTGTTCATAAAAGCTTGGCGGAGTGGATCAGAAGTCTGCGTCTGGGGAGCTTTTAGCCTGGTGGGCAAGGCAGCCACGGAAGCGGATAATTACTGTGCACAGAGGCCTATGATCATGTCTCAAGAGCTCTGCCAGACGGTGTGAGCACAAAGGGAGGAGGCAGTGGGCTTCGGGGTGGGGCGGGGTGTCAGACTGAGCACGGGGTCCATTTGTTAAGATGGATGGGATGTGGATCGGGTGGCGGGAGGGCTTTCCTGGCAGAGGGCCCGGTAGGAGCAAAGGCAAGGCTGAGGGAAGGTGTGGTGTGGTAGTGTGGTGTGCTTGAAACACTGCCGTGTGAGGAGGGTAGGGGACAGCGAGGAGGGACAGGTAGGTGTGAGTGGAAGGAAGCAAGAGAAAGACTCTTTAAATGGTAGGACTTGTTTCTCTTCCCTCCCTGGGGCCTGTTTAGGAAGGCTGTTTGTGTAATAACCCCACTATTTTACATAAATAAATAAAGTAAATCATTGCTCTCCATTCCCTTAGGGGGCAAAAACTAGTTCTAGACAAGCTCGCTCAGTGTGAGTCTCTGCCAGACTCAGCTTCCTTCCCCTCCCATTCAGGTGCCCCGCTTCGCTGGGACTTGGGTAGAGGCGTTGGAAAAAGCCAGCCTGGTCCCTGGGACAGAATCACTGGGCTCCTGGGAGGGGTGGAGGTGTCAGTCCAGGGTGAGAGGGAGGTGAAAGTCTGCCCCTTCACCAGGCCCCAGGCTGGCCCTTGAGGCCATGCCTGAGGCCCTGCAACATTTGCTTACTCTGCCTGCTCCGGGAAAAGCCTGTCAGTGCCAGGTTTTTTTGGGGGTGAGGGCAGGCCGCTCCCCTCTGGAGGGCTCTCCTACAGGAGGGAACCACTCAGCCCTCCAGGGAGGGCGAGCCTCAGAAAGTATGTGGGCCTATGTAGGCCCCTCTGCTGGGGAACCACCACTAGGAGCTGTACTGAGGATTTCTATGTGGAAAGGCAGGCTGGATGGAATGGCTGTAGGTCTTTCCTGCTGCTGGCATTTGATGATTTTAATCATCTGAAATCCAGGGATAGTTCTGTTAGATTGTACCAGGATTCCGCGATTGATTGTTGGGTGAAGGTGATCCTAAGACTCTGGTTTAGACAGTTTGCAGCTAGAGATTTAGAGTCTGAGATGCTAAGCTCTGCTCTCTGGGCAAGGCCAGGCTACACCTGGTGACTACTCAGCCCATGCTCATAGCCCTGACTTGGGAAAGAGAGGTCCTTTCTGTGCCAGGAGAACCCAAGGCCCTGGGCAGGATCCTGAGCCTGGCTCCTGTCCAGCCTGCAGCCCCAAAGTGTCCCAAACCTGTGGTTCTATCTCCTCAGTGCCTTAACTGAGGGTGTGTCTCTGACCTGTCCTGACTTGTACCAACCTTGCCTCCTCATCTGTAAAACGGGCATCTGGTACTTACCTGCAAAGTTGGTGAGATGCTTCAATAAAATGATGTGAGGGAGACTCTTTGTAAACAGCAAAGCATTGGCCATGTGGTTATAATTGTGCTGGTCCTGCAAAGAGGTGTCCTCCTAAAAGGAAGGTCCATGTCTGATTCTCTGTAAATCTTTCTTGGCTCCCTGGCACACTGTGGCAGCTTCGTAGACATTTATTGAATGAGCTAAAGAGCCTTAGATATGGGACAGGTGGTAGCAGAGGCCACAGTTCCCAGGGACAGGCAGGGAGCACTTTCTACAGGAGAACAGCCAGGAGGGGCAAGAGAGCTTGAGAACCCATGAGTGGGGTGCAGCGAGCCTGCCCAGTGGTGCTGTCAGCCTGGCCTGCTCCCCAGGAAGAGAATCAGAGGTCTTAGGACAGAAGTGTTGTGTAAACAGGACACTCTGACACCTCCATGGAAAGAGATTAATAATGACCCTAACTATGGCATGATTGATTCTTTGAGGGCTCCTGCTGAGCCCCAGCCTCAGCCACTGAGTAACTTTTTCCCAAAGAATGGTGCCTGTGACACGGGGTGGTGCTGGCCCACCTGGTCTCTTTATCTCCCAGGCCTCCCTCCTGGCACCTTGTCTCCCAGCCTCTCCCCACTGGGAGTCTGCCTCAGTGTAAGACTTCCTTCCTGTCCTGCACTTGCCTACCTTCTCTGTTGATTTCATTAGAGTTTAGGGCTTTCTCTGAGGCTCAGAGAAGTGGAATGACTTGCCCAGGGCCATAGTGTGGTGGTGGCAGCCCAGATCTCTCAATTCAAGCCACCCGATGAGGCCCGCACAACAAGAAATGTAGTAAATCTGTGAGCACTTGTCAAAAGCTAAGTGCAGAAGGCTGTGCTGAAAGGTGGTGGGGAGGGGCCTGAGATTGTTTGGTCCCACATTTTTCTGGGCTTTTCAAGCCTTGGAAACGGGGAAGCCCCAGAATTAGCCCTGTTGCCCTACCTCTAGCCCCAGTGCGTGGGATTTGTCTTGTTGTTTGAGTTTAGTCGTTAGTTTGGGGAAACAGCCGAGAGCTAATGAGCTGCTTGGGGGCTGTCCTGCTGTCCTTGAGCCCCCAGAGGGCAGGAAGGATCCTGTATGCAGCAGACACCCCCACTAGATGGAACCCACACTAGGCTTAATTTTCTGGCTGGAGCCTGGGATACCCTTGGCTTTTGGAGAGGTCCTGCTCACCCCCTCCCTGCCACCAGGCTTTCCCTGTGGTGTTCCTTCCCCTAAAGCCCCTTCTTCTCCCTCTTGTTCTACAAACCTGTCTTATTTCTGAACTCTGCTTGGATCCTGCCCTCTCCAGGAAGCCACTGTGCAGTGGTCCATGCTGGGACCCAAAGAAGCACAGGAGCTGTGGTTCCCGGAGAACCTGACACAAGCAGGGAGGATTTCTTAGAGCAGGGACCACCTGAGCTGAGATGAGGAGGAGTTTGCAGGCCTTAAGGATGGGCAGAGGGGCCCAGAGCTAAGGTAGCTTCACCGGCTTACCTGCAGTGGGAGCAGGGGATGGGCAAGGCAGTGAGGAAGGACTGCAGGGAGGCCTGGTCTCACTCCAAGGTCATGTCCCTCGAGCAGGATAGGGAGGAGTCACTGTGGCCTTTTATGCCTTGAGTTTTACTGTAAGTCAAGTTTGGGTCATCACTGTGAGTTATCCAGGCCGTGACTCCCTGTACCTTGGTCCCTGACCAAGATGGTGGAGGTACCTGGGCAGAGCACTGGCCGGGGGCTCAGGGTGACTAGCCTCTAACCCTGTCACAGGCCTTCCTGCAGCTTTCATCCGCATTTTGACTGCTCCAGTCAGTGACTGGCTCAGGGGCTCCCAGCCATTAATGTTGGGGGCTCTTCCCTTCAGACCAGGCAAGGATTGTGGGGTTGTCCTTTCCTCCTCCCTGAGCTGTCCCATCTCTGCTTTTCTCCTAGGGATGAGAGAGCAGGTGGTTAAAGGGTTTTAGAAGCTGAGTGCTAAAAAGGCCCTTGGCCACCATCCGGTGGTGTTCAAACCCTCCCACGATACAGACTGGGAAGCCAAGGCAGACGCTTGTGGAGATCACTCAGCCTGCTGGTGGCTGAGCTCAGCCTCAGCCTGTCAGCTCTGGGATGGGGCTGAGGTTGAGGCCCTAGTGAGAGCATCCATGGCCAAGTAGAAGGAGAGTGATTCCTTCTTCGCATTTGTGCTCTGCCTCCTTCCCCAGGGCCTTGGCAGGCTGCTGGAGAAGGTCAGATCTCCGCCAACCCCAGCCCTGTGCCCATCATGGTGTGCGGGGGGTTCCCCTTTCCTCCCCTGGGTTCTTTGCCCTACTCTGGGCCCTTGTTCCCTTGA